CATTGTCAATCCAATAATAACAAAAGCAGAAGAATGCTGTGAAACATTCGAGAATTCCAACAAATAAATAAGCATGAATAAGGAGTTTTATATTCAGTAGATGATCTTTTCCATGAATCGATGGTGGTCGAGACATAATATCACGGTTAGGCTTTTCCGTTACCACTGCTAATGACATAACTACATCTGAATAAGAAAGAATATCAAATGAAAAGGTTATGTAAAATGAAAGTCTTGATCTAACATACCATTAAGCATACAGAAAACTGTAGCCCAAAGGGCAGACAAAGCTAATGGCATACCAAACCATAAATTAAAGAAAACAGGCCAAATTTGTGACCAAGAGCCTAAGATTTTGACTAAATAGTTATTTTGACAAATTCATCAAAATATCTTTACCTTCGGGTAATCGATAAACGGCTACTTTCTTCAAATTATCACTTAATAAACGACCGGTTTCAATTGCTTGAATAATCGATGAAAAATTGTTATCGAGCAGAATTATATCACCAGCTTCTTTCGATACTTCTATATCAAATTGTATGGCTACACCAAGATGAGCACATTTAAGTGCTGGTACATCTTTAGCTCTATTATCCGTAACAGCGACAATTTCAGCACGTCGTTGAAATTCTGAAACGATGCGCAATTTGTGTTCGGGTGATATTCGTGTAAAAACCAATTCTTGATAAGATAAAACCCAATCCCATAAAAAATCATCCATAAAATCAATATCTGCACCGACAACCTATTCATTAAAAAACAACTTCTGACGTAAATCAGTAAGATAAGAAAAACTTGCCACAATTCCATATGGAATATATTCCATTTTAGTCGCTTTTGAAAGATCTGATTTCGGTTCATTAAATTGATTTTGACACGATACTCAAGCTTGCTTGTACCAGGATAGTTTCTGATCAGATTGATCCTCATCAATATTGATCGAACTTCGGATATTTTTCTTGTTCGGATCAAGGCATATCATTTGATCAGGAATGTACTGTTTCAATAATTGCTCATTTCGATACATATTGATAGCCGTTTGACCATTGGCATCTTTTTCAATTTTGAATGTATCTATACCATTCATTTCCAATATTTCAGGTGTTAAAATATGAACTTGTTTTGCAATAGCTTTAGCCATCATTGGATAATCACCGGTAACCATGACTACACGGATTTGAGCACGACGAGCTTGAAGAGTGGCATTAGGCACTTCTGGTCGTGGTGGATCAAGTAAGGAGAACAAACCAATAAAGCAATAATCATTCGATGAAAATCCATTGAGATCTTCAACATCGGTCGATGATTGTGAACGTTATTCTTCTTTGTACCGTCTCATCATTCGATCATATTGTTGTCGAGTAAATCTTTGTTGGCACATAGCGATGACACGATAACCATTTTTCGCTAGAAACATTCAAGTTAAAGGGAAAAAGAAAACCTTCGATTTTATCGTTATATCATTCATCTCACCTAATTCTTCGTGTCGATGAAACAATGCCTGTTTCATTTCGGCATTTAGTGGTAAAATGAGTCAGTCCAAAATTACATCATCATAATGAATCACTTTTTTCCTTTACCAGTAATTCGATGAGCAATTGAAAACTCACCTACTTCGACCATTCTCACATTTAGACGTACAACTTCTCCTAATCTAAAATATCCATAATAGAAGGTGCACGTTAAAACAAAGAAAAAGATATTACCATCACAAAATTACCAGAAAAAATATTGATAAACGTTTTACTATTAAACAAATAAAAAACATCTTAAAATAACATGATATACCAATTACAGCTGTAAATGCTTTACGTTCACCACATACATATGAAAAAAAATTAGTTATTGGATTAAAAGACATCACCAAATGTTCAATATATGAAGATATAGTCGCCGATTTATTTACAAAACAACATTATGAACAATTTCGACATAACAAATACAAATGTCGATCATCACCTCGTCGTCATCTAAATCCTCATCATTTCTAATAGGAAAAATATTTTAAAAAAAATCATTACAACTTTCGGTTACTCTTCTGTTGTTATTAAGTACACATGATGAAAGTCATATATATTGACTCATCGATTGTATAACAATCATTTTCTATATTTTGTTTATTATTATTTTTTTCCCTTTTTACGTTTGAACATTCACTTTTGGTGAAATAAACCATTATTTCTTTGTTATTTATCAGTTATTCGTTGTTATTCATATGATTTGCGTTATTCTTCTTTATTCTATTGTTTCTGTTTTTGTTTATATTTGAAAATGTGGATACGTCACATTTTTTCTTCTAATTTTTTTGTTTTTTTTTCATTCAGTTTATTGTTCCCAATTAGTAGGGTTAACAGAAGAAATACAATGTAAAAAAAGGGTACCGACAAACGTAAATAATTAAAGTAGAAAATCACAATCAATGAAGAAGAGAAAAAAAAGGAAAGGAAATATTTAGGATAGTCTTTCTACTAAGTCGGTTACTCTCTGCTTCTTCTTGTCCTATACTTTCATACGCGCTAAACTTTGTGGAAAAGGCCATTTTTTTTCACTTATGAAGATGAAATACAGAATAAAAAGAGAAAAATCCAAATAGACAAAGTTGAAACGCAATTGATACAACAATTAACAGTACAGTTACAAAGGAATAAAAAAAACAGAAGAATAACAATTTATACAATGAGAACATTTTTAGAAATCTACACCTCTAGAACTAACTGTTATATTTAGTCTAATGTAGTTTGTCGTGTTTTGTTTTGTTTTAGATGGTATAATTTCACGGTGGTAATAAGTGTCTACAGATAAAGTCTTTTATTTCCTTTGAGGAAGTTTGGAAAATAGTTTACTTGTTTTTCGTGGATCATAAAAAAATTAAATAGGTCTAAATACATATGAGTAGCCCGATGGCACAATCTTTCCGGGAACCTAC